CTACTATCATTTATCGCTATTTGCCAAGTTGTCCCTCGACTGGTTGCATACAAGGTGAGTGCATTATGGGTTCGTGTGTTTGTCGATATCCATATTTTGGAAGTAATTGTACTTTAACTCCTGCCACTCCACAACTTTCATTCATTCCAAACATCACTTTAACAGAGAAATTTCCTTTATCACTAAACTTAACACAGTACTTACTGAATGGCGATTCTCCATTGGCCTGGTGGTTGGATATAGACGTACCTATTAATTTAGCGATACTTTCAAATGATAGATTTACTACATTATTAATATGGCCCTCAGCTGTAGCATCTGCCACGCCCTATTCGATTACGATTAACGTCAAAAATAGAGAGATGCCTGACATTGCTCGTCAAACATTTTACATCACCGTCCCCCCGGGTTATTATGCAACAGTCGGTCTAGCACAAAACTTCTCTCAGAGTGTTATACTACAACCGAGACGTTTGCCTCTGTCTGGCGAAATATTTTCTCTAGATTCCAGGTACGAACCAATGCAATACAATGACTCAGTTAATATCTGGATTGAGGTTAATGGACAAAATCGTCGATATTTACCGTCAGTCATAGTACAGAACGGCACTTTTCTTACATACTACACACCTCTATCAACCGACTATGGAACAATTACTTTCGGAGCGTCACATCCATCACTGAAAGGAATAAATGATGGCACGGTACAAGATCGTCTAATATATTTAGGCCTACAACTGCAAATTCTTACTACATCTACCTTACAGATTCGAACTGGATCCATGAGCTACTTTCCATCTATAGCTAGAATTTTGAATCCAACCAGTATAGATGTGTCGAATTTAACAATACTATTAATAGGTCCAAGTATCCTTACAAACAATTACAACATCACTTTCAACTGCTCACAAGCAAATTTCACTGTGATACCGGCTAACTCGGAGTGCTTGCTTGACTTAATTCTAAGCTTCAATGTCTCCTACCTCGGACAGATTGGCTTTCGATTCGCTCACAGTCAAATTAGACCATTATACTTAATTCTAAACGTCAACGTGAAGTATGATAAGCCTGCTTTTGATATCTCACCACCATCAAGAACTCTTACAGTTGCTCGTGGAACACAACAATTTATCACAGCTACGATTTATAACATTGGCTCTCGACAATCTGGGACTTTATCAATTCAAGTTCCAACAGATCAAACTTACTTTTCTGTTGTAACACCGACAGTCTCACCTATACCAATCGATGGTAATGCTACATTGATATATTCAGTTCGTATTCTTGATACTGATCTACTTAGCATCGTTGATTTAGAGAGTCAAATAATCGACTTGGAAAATCAAATATCCACAAAAATATCGCTTCGCCTCATCATTGTGGGTAGTGATACAACATTAGTAAACGTCACCTTCGTCATCGAAGATGAGTTTACTTATTTTGTCGCTGGTCAACCACATGTTGCGAATGCAACTCTAACTTTCGTCAGTCGAAACCTCGGAACGACGCAGAGTATAAGAACTAATACAGAAGGCCTGGCACAGATCGCACTTCAAGCTGACCTCTATCAGCTCTCAGTCATTGCTATGAACCATTCATCCTTCACATCGATAGTTACAATAGATGTATCATTAAATGGACGATCCTACTCAATATTTCTTCAGCGACAAGCGGTCACCTATACATGGACTGTAACACCAACAAAATTTCAGGACGAATATGATCTTACACTCGATGCTAGTTACGACGTGGAATTGCCAATACCGACTGTCGTTATTTCACCCTCCATCATCAATATAAATGATTTGGAAAATAGTGATGTTAGTCAACTTGAATTAACCTTAACTAATCATGGACTCATTAAAGTTGATAATGTACAAGTTATTCTCACTGATAAACATCCATTCCTAAAATTCTACCCTTTAAAAAATGGTTCCTTAGGTGAGATTCAAGCAAATTCATCAATTATTGCAGCATTTCGTATTGAACGTTTGAATGTGACTAGTCGAAAGAGGCATGCAGTGTCGCCAGAAGTTCTTAGGGAAGATCCATGTCTGTCGAGTATGACAGTGTATGAATATTATTGTGGTAACAAGCCTGTAGGAGTACAATTACAAGTACCCTTTTTTAAAGAAAGCATGAGTAATGTTCTATCATCGATGGGTGCAATAGCAAGCGTAGAATGTGCCGAGTTTCCCGTACAACCTGGAAATCTGTTTAATATAGTTCCATGGTTACAGGCATACGGGTATACAGCCGCATTAATTATAGATACTATCTCTATTTTGCCTATCCCGATTTCTATTACGGATACAAGTACGGATCCGACTTTAACCATTTATAATAGCACGATCTTTGAACCGATTGATCTTATCTCTCCTAGTTCAGAATCATATGTACATCCAAATACTATTCCAACGTCGATGGTTTGTGCATTCGAAGTCTGTATATTGGCAATTATTGATTGTGATATAGATGTAGAAACGACAAGTTCTCGTGAGTAATTTTATCGAAATGACCAATATTTCTATATGCGCTATTCACCAACATGCTTCAATGCATACATATTTCAACGCACTTTTATCTAAAAACTATTTGCATGTTCTTAGCTGTTTTAGAAACTTTCGAGAAGGCTTTGATATATGTTTAAGTCAGAGTTTTCAATTGTTTCTGAAAGAAGGAGGCACGAAAAATCCAAAAGAAAATGCTTTCCTTTAGCTTTTAATCAGACGCACAATAAAGTTTCCTAAAACCATTGCCTTTTGCGAAACTAAGCTAATAAAAATGATCTTAATACAATTTTATAGCGAATAGAGAACTCATACTATTAAAAATTCTGGAGGCAGTGTTAGGAGTTTTAGAAAATAGTTCAAGATATTTCGAAAAAGGAAGCTACTGTTTAAACCTTCCTAACTGAACGTTAGAAAGGAGAGTAGGTTCTGCCAAAGGAGAAACTCTTATCGTTATCAATCAAACTTTGTTTTTGTAAAAAGAGCTCATTCTTTTGTAGTTCTATCTAACAGTTTTCAGCATTTGATTCTTCGTCAATTTAAATAGTTTTTAGATAAAAGTGCGTTGAA